TGAATTTTCTTTTGAAATTCTTTTGATTAAAAATACGTTATCTACTTTGCTTCACGTTTTTTTTTTTTTTAAAGAATCATTCTCCACCTTCGTAGAAACATATAGGGGAAGTTAAACTTTTTACATTTGAACCTTTAACATTATGGGTATCTGAAACAATAATTCACTTCTAATATTTTGCCATTTCTAACTATATTCTATTAAGGTAACTGATATGGAGATTCTTTGAATAATTAAAACAGGATCCATGGATGTAATGAATACAGTAGCACAAAATTTAAACCAGTTTGCTTTTGAGAGGTATTTAAACCGGCATATAAAATTTTCATAGTTCTGTTAAATATGTTCGTGCATAATTTATTAATCCCTCAATTGAAGTCCATTAAGTACACCCGTGCCCTATATGAATGTATATATGTGCATACACACACGCAGGAAGATCAATTGCCGTATTCCAGACATGGCAGTAAAAAAGGAAAAATAAACAACAATTACATAATTGGATGTCCACAGTCTCACTCACAAAAGGGAAGGGCTAGGGTGGGGGGGTAAAGCTGTGGAGTGAAAAAAACAAAATAAAACCCAAACCCAAACCAACCAGTTGCCTTAAATTGGAACTCTCCGCAGGCTTTCGCGCAGAGCGAGGAGCGAAGAAGGCGTAGTTTTCGGGGGAGGAGGGGGCCGGGGTCCCGACACCTTCCGCCACCTCCCAAGGGGATCTTTCAGGCAACGCCCACGCGGAACGCGCAGGAACCGCCGACAGTCTTAGGTGAACACCGAGTGCAAAAAAAAGCCCCGAGCGCGTCCACAAAGTGCCCGGGGCCGCCCCTCTCGCCGAGGCTAGCCAGCTCCCCCGGCTGGCGTATAAGGGCCGAACCGACGCGGCGACGAAGGCGGGCGGTGGGCTGCAGGGGGCGCGGGCCCGGCGCGGGATGAGAGGCCGAAGGGGAGGCCCCGGGCGGGGAGGTCCGCAGCCCGCGCGGCCGGGAGCCGCGTGCGCGCGCGGCCGCATCAGCTGAGCGCGCGTCGCGCGTCACGTGGTGCGCGTGTCGAAGGTCACGGCGCGCTCACAATGGAGCTCTCGGAGTATGTGCAGAAGGGCTTCCAGATGCTGGCTGATCCCGGCTCCTTCGACTCCAACGCTTTCACGCTTCTTCTCCGGGCGGCTTTCCAGAGCCTGCTGGACGCCCAGGCGGACGAGGCAGTGTTAGGTAAGCCTCTCGGCTCTGAGCTGGATCGGCTTGGGTGGAGGGGCGCTCGGAGAAGAGGAGCGAGACCGAGCGAAAGGGGGAAAGCCCCGGGAAGAGGAAGTCTCCGGGCTTTGCCCTTCGCTCCGGACGGAGTGTGAGGATATGGCTCTGTCAGAACCCAGAGTGGACCCTGAGCATTGTTCTATCCCCAGCTGGCACCTGCACAGCGCCAGCTACACGTTCCTGGCCTGATTTCTCATCCCAGTGTCTTTGTTCCTTTGTAAAGCCCTTGTTCGAGTCTCGTTTGTGGCCTAAACATGTAAGGTTTTCAGCCTGGTCTGAGGCTAAGGCTGTTTGACACTTGGACTTCATCGGGGGAGTTCCCTGCCATTCAAGCTTTCAGTGTTAGGCTGGCAAAGGTTTTAAACGATCTGTTTCCAAAGTAATTACTACGGCGAATAGTGTTGACATTTTCCACGTTAGAAAATACCTTACGTTATGATTACTCCAACACTGTGTAGTTAAAAGTGATTTGCACAGGTTCCACGCCTAGAACCTAAAAATAATGGTGAATGTTTTGTTCCGCACTAGTTACCAGGAGGTGAGTGTTTTTTACTTGGTCAGGTCAGTTATTGTAGAGTGCGGCGTCGTTATGGATTGAAGGCATATTTTGAGACAGGTAGCTTTTAGATAATTTTCTTAAATATAAATATCCCAACAATTCAAATTTTTGTGTTTTTTTTTTTTTTTTAGTTCACGAACTAAATACCAAAAAGTATGAAAGTGGAAGTTCTTTAGACGAAAATAGTCATTACCACCTGGGTTAATCTCCAAAAAAGGATGGCTGTCAAAACCTGAAAATATTTTGAATTTATATTCTGAACTTTTGTTCCCCGTTCCCGATGTACTGATGTCCATGGAGCCAGTTATCCTAAAAGCAATCAATCTTTAGAGGGGAAGTTTATTCATTTAAAAATATACACCATGTAAAATATTCATTTTATTTTCCCCTGTATTTATTCCATCCAGCGTTAGAATCACCAGTGTATAGTTGTTTTTGCTTTTCGGATTATGGTGTTTTTTAAAAAGCAGTAAAAAATATTAAGGCAAAATGAAAGAAGGTAATTGAGATCAAGTAACAGCAGAATTACTGATGTTTGCTCTTTATTGTTTTGCCATTGACTTTGTTGCTCATCTCACTTACAATTGCAAATCCTTGAAGTTGAATCCTTTTTGATACCTTGTGAAAGGTTTTTTTTACCAAAATTCAAAAACTTACTGGAAACATGACTATAAAGAATTTATTATCACTGGCATCACTAGCAATTAATTTATTTTAGATCACCCAGACTTGAAACATATAGACCCAGTGGTTTTAAAACATTGTCATGCAGCAGCTGCAACTTACATACTGGAGGCAGGAAAGCAAAGAGCTGACAAATCAACCCTAAGGTACAAGATTTACTTAAATATCATTAATTTTCTTATAGTACCTTTATGATTCCAATTTCAGATTTTAAGATGAGACTAAACTTTGGCTTTTTTCCTCCCCTTTAGCACTTATCTAGAAGACTGTAAATTTGATAGAGAGCGAATAGAACTCTTTTGCACGGAGTACCAGGTTAAAAAAATTTTTTAATTAACAATTACTATTTTTTTCTATTCTGTTTGCAAAGATCTGTTTTCTTTCTTTTCTTTTTCCCCTTCAGAATAATAAGAATTCTCTAGAAATCCTACTGGGAAGGTAGGTACTGTATAAGGTGTCAAGCTGAGCCACTTTTCACCTGTAGGTATGAATGGAGAATGCTGGTGTGAAACAAAACAGGGCAAAAAACAGGAATCTTGACCAAAAGAAAAGGGGCCAAAGGGCAAATGAAACAATTGAAGTTAAGCTAATATTTTTAAAGATAAAGTTCATTGAGATAATTTTTAAATGCTCTTTTGCTATTCAGTACTTGAAAATAAAACCAGCTGTTCTAAATTCAGAATGGATTAAAATTGTGTGTGTAGGGAATGTGTGTGGAAGGTAGACACCTTTCTCGGTAAAGATAAATACTGAAACAGCATTATGTACAAAATTATCATTGTATCTTTCAGTATAGGCAGATCTCTCCCTCATATAATTGATGTTTCTTGGTGTTTGGAATATCAGATAAAGGTAAAGTTTAACTGTTCTTTAGAGGGATTTAGGGAGCTTTTTGAAAAAAGGCTGAAATGTATGTGTTGTGTTTTAGACTAATCAACTTCACAAGATGTACAGACCTGCATACTTGGTGACCTTAAATGTAGAGGTATTTATACATAAGCCCTGTCTAAAAATTAAATGTGTAATGAAAATTTGAATTTCTTTTATTTAAATATAAACAGCATTTTTTTTCTTCCCTAGAACACTGATTCCCAAACCCTCCCAGACATTAGTTTTAGTTGCAACATGGAACAATTACAGGTACAGTATTAGGATCTATGAATGTGCCTATCTTTTCATAGGTGTTTGAGAATTATGTTTATGGAAAGTTCCAAACAAAAATAACCATCTGTCAGTAGATACTGAAGGCTGCTTAAGGATTTACTGGGAAGAGGTCTTCAAAAGCAATATTTTAATGTAGGCTTTACTTTTGAAATTAGATGTTACTAACCGAGAATTGATCTGTATTTGCTGTTCTAAGTTAACTCCTGAAGTGTAGTGTTGAATGTAAATTCCTTATATTGGTGATGAGTTTGTTACAGTAGGGCAAAGGAAAATTAAGAGAATGTCTTTGAAAATGTCCTCTTGGCTTTCAGAAGTTCAGTTAAGCTTTCAAAACAGGATTTTTAAACCGTAGTTTTGAATGATTTTGTAAAGGAGGAAGTATACATAAAATTCTAGAACTGCTTTAGGTTGCCAGTTTAAGACTCGAGAAATTCAAAACTACATTGATAATGGACATGACAACGAATTAATTTCTTACCACTTAAAAAAAGTGAAGATCATTATTGGAAGTTTTGATGTAACTGAATTTCTCCTGTGGAGTCGTTTTAATGTAACAACTAATCAAACTTTAAACTTTCAGAAAATGAGTACAACATAATGTTAGGTAACTTGAGAAATTTAATTCTGATACATCTTTCCTGCTAAGAGGATTTGGTTAGAAGTCATATCACCAATCTGAGGGGAAGTAGCCCATTTGAAGATGAGATATTTTAGAGGAAAACCTTTTAACTGATAGTGGTTTGTCAATGGTTAAAATTCTCGTGCATTTTAGATTTGCTTAGAAGGTGTCTCCCGACTTTTCCTTTGCATTTCTCAAATATGGATAGTTCTTTCTTGTATTTAATCCTAAAATCATGGCATTATATACATCTTTTAGGACTTAGTGGGGAAACTTAAAGATGCTTCAAAAGGCCTGGAAAGAGCAACTCAGTTGTAACTTGTGGAAGTTAACGATCCGCTCGGGTCTAGAGGAAGACCGGCAACACCTTGTCGTCGGGGGAACCATCGTTTATTCCACCTGGATGTCTTCCTTTTCAGTAGAAAAAAATTTTCTTTTTGGATTTATGCCGCTCATCAGTTTTGACATTGTCTTACACTTGTGAAAAGGGTTGAGAGAAAAATTCTACCAAAGTATTTGAATCTTTTGTATTAAGCGTACCTTGATCCCACTTCGATGTTTTTCAAGTCTTATAAAAGTAGACAGTATTACACTCTGAATAAATAAGCTGACAAAAACAGTGGTGAGTTTGGATTTAAGTTTGTGTGTTACTACTTTGAAGACACAGATATGATCAGCGTTAACTTCTAACGATCGCCTTTTCTCTGGATGAAGGTTAACCTCAGTGGGAAAGGATGCGATCCCCGAAGTTTGTGGAAGCTCTAAGGTTTGGGACTGGGGAAGCGGGCACTGCCGCCCCGCGGCGGGAGACGGCCCAACCCGTTACTTGCGCGGGAGGTACGGGGAGGGAGCTCGGCAGCAGCCGGACCCTCGCTCTCCGGGCTCCGAGGCCCAGCCTGGGCGGCCCCCGCACGGTGCCCCTGCGCGCGCGCGCGCGCGCGCGCCCCACCTCAGCCGCCTCTGGGCGAGGAAGAGGGCCGGCGCGGCCGCGGGGCGACGGAGGCGGGCGCTGTTGTTTCCGCGAGCCCAGCTCGGGCGCAGGTCCCGCGCCGCGGCGCCTTAGTCCGGATCGCAGCCCGCTGGGAAGGCTGGGCTGGGCTGGGGGAGCGCTGGCCGGCGGGAGCCCGTGGACGTGTGCGCCGCGAGCGGAGGCGGGCAGCAGAAAGAAATAACGGGGGGTGGGGGGGGGGGGGGGCTGAGCTCCGTGCGGGGCCGAAGCGATGCCCGCGCCGAGAGCAGGGTGGCGCATGGGGCGCTGTGGAGAAATGTCTCCGCAGCAGCGCCGCCGCCGCCGTGCACAACAAGGGGGAGGGGGCCGGGTCGCGCTGCTCCGGGGGTAGGGGGCGGCCGCGGGCCCGACTACACCGACACTAATTCCCAGGCCGCCCTTAAGGAATGAGGGGAGCACGTGACCCGGCGGGGGGGCGGCGGGGAGAGGGGGCGGGCGGACTCTGAGCCATTTTGGAGCTGGTGTCAGTTTCCACTCTGCCTTCAGCGGTGCATTTTTTTTTCCACCCTCCCCTCCCCCTCTTCGTCCTTCCTCCCCTCCCCCCGCCTCTCCGCACGCACACACTAGGCGCCCCCCCACCCGCCCTCCCCCCACAGCAACTTTGAAAAAATAATCGTAGTATTAAAGGCAGAGATTGGGCGAGACAATGGGGATGTTGGCGAGGGAGCCCCGATCCGGATCAGAAACACCTCCTAGCCCCGCAGAATAATACTGATCGCGCCCCCTCCGCGCGCTCCCTCCCCTGAGTGCGGAGCGGGAGGAGGCGGCGGCGGCGGCGGCGGCCGAGGAGGAGGAGGAGGAGGAGGAGGAGGAGGAGGCCCAGAGGAGGAGGCGTTGGAGGCCGCGGAGGAGGAGGAGGAGGAGGCCGCTGAGGAGGAGGAGGCCGAGGCGGAGGAGGAGGAGGAGGAGGCCGGGCTCGGGAGGCAGCATGAGCCGAGCGCGGCGGCCGCGGCTCCTCTCGGCTGCGCTCGTTGCCCATTGACAGCGGCGTCTGCAGCTCGCTTCAAGATGGCCGCTTGGCTCACATTCATTTTCTGCTGAACGACTTTTAACTTTCATTGTCTTTTCCGCCCGCTTCGATCGCCTCTCGCCGGCTGCTTTTTCCGGGTACGTAGGAGGCAAGGCGCCTCTGGGACGGGGCCGGGGCCGGCGGGGGCCTCGCGGGGCTCGGGCCGGCGCCGCGGGTGGATGGGGAACGGCCCCCCCGCGCCTCTCCCGCGCCGGCCGGGAGGGCGCTGACAGCGTGGGCGCCGAGCCCCGCGCCGCCGCCCGCCGCCCCGCGCGCCGCCTGTCCCCGCGCGCCGCCCGCGCCCGCGAGCGCGCGCCCGCCGCCGCCCGCCGGCTCCTGCGGCGCCGGGACCGACCCGCAGCCCGCGCCGCGCCGCCGCCAGCCGGGCTCGGCGCCGCTCCAGCCGCCGCCCGCTCAACCCGGACGCGCCGCGCGCCGCCCCACGTTTTAGGTCTTTTCTCCCCCGAGCGCCCCTCTACACCCTCGCGACGCACATGGCCCCCGAGAAGGACACTTGTATTTCCAGCCTCTGCGGCTCTCCCGGCCGCGGCGCCCTTTGTTGAGAGGTAGATTTGGATGAAACGGGGACGGGTTCCTGAAATCGGGAGCTGCCCGGGTCAAGTGGCTTCCCTCCTCTCCCGAAGAAAGGGCTTTTGAGGGGTTTAAACATCCAGAGAACTCCCCCATTTTATAGGGACGGGTTATGTGGGGGGCAGCGATCCCGCCGAGGTGAATGTTAGCCTGCAGAGAGCCCAAACAAAAATGTTATTAACTTAAGTTGGAGGGACACTTGTGTGAAATTGGATGGCTTGTAAGATGGCGGTTCCCAGTTGTTTCCAAGGTCTCCCGCATTTGCTTTTAAAAGGGCAAAGTTTTTGAGGTGTTATTTGTTGGGAGTCTTGGATAAATTCTCTAAACATTGCTCGGGACGAGCTCCCAGAGAAGTGGGCATTTTAAATTTGGAGCTTTTTTGGAGTGATGATGGTGACTGGACGTCAGTGTTGCAAGAGGTTTCCTTTCTTTCTTGCCTTCTTTTTTTTCTCTTCTTGTTTCTCCTCCTCGGAGACTACAGTTTTTCTCTCAACCTCTGCTATAGGATGCACTTAGACCCATGACTTAAATCCACTGCGTTTTACAGGTTTTGCTAAATGTCAGCATAGGTCATGTGGTAAAGAGATGCTTTGGAAAAGGAGCACTAAAAAGTTGATTGCATATGTTTACGCAGTTGGGTTTGACAGAGATATAGCATGATCTTTTCCCCAGAGATTTATAGTTAATAATTGGAAGTAAACAAGGAGACTTTGATCATTCCCAATTGCAATAAAAGGATTTAGTGGGCTTAGTAGTCACGGTTCAATATTTGAAAGAGAAGCATGTATTAAGCATGCAAAATTCTGGGCATATTTATCCAAATCCAAGGAAGTGTAGGATGGTGGTACCTAGAATATTATGAATAGCTCAACCTATATTTTATAGGAACCTTAATCCCCAAGTTCTGGAAACACATTATAAGCTACACCAAAGACTTAAAACTTACGGATGCAAATTATTGACACTATATACTAACTTACGAGGCTACGTTAGCATTTGAGTTTTATTTCAACTAGACTGATTAGAAAGAATCCTGTAGTGGTTCATTTTATGAGCAACTTTATAAATTTTTTATTACTTGAGTTCATTTCCATACATCTGCCCCAAAGTGCAGAGGTGTTTGAAATAACTTACATGTGCAAATCACACACTAACAGTATCTTTAAATCCATATAAAAGTTACTGTGTATGTCAGTGTGTATACATACAGTTTTCTAAGAAAATTGAGCATTTAATTGTACTTGATAAATCGATTAATACTGTACTACCAAGTACTTGGATGTGCATTAAGTGCCCAAATAGGCAAAATTTTTCCTAGGAGGCAAGTTAACCCCAACTTTACCTGTACTTGTATTGGGCTGTGAGCCTCAACTGGGGTTATGGAGTTCATTTGCATTTCTTAGATTGCAATAGTCATGCTGATTGTTAACATAAAAACTTGCTTCTGTTTTTCTTCATTTTGACATTACTGGTGGTAGGCCTACAACTAAAATGGCAGCCCCAACTGAGTATGTTATAATGGCAAGTTTTAACAATTGAGTAATTTTACCATTGTACGTTTGGTGCATTTTTGCTGGCCTAACTGGCAGTTTCAGTGCTGGAACCTAGAAGATTTTCATTTTTAAGGTGCAAGTGATTGTTTCTTAAACCTTATCAAACATGTCAAACCTTTTGGAAATCTTCATTAGGTTGCCAGTATTTTCAAATGGTATAAAAAGATAAAGAACTGATTTTTGTGTAAGTAACAAAGTGATATTTACTAGCATTATAAAGGGTAATAGGATTATGACAAATTCTTGTTAACTGAGGGAGAGGAGTTGTGTGAATTAATAAGGTGAATTTGAAAGGGTTTTGCTCAAGTATATGTGACTTAAGTGTTCAAAGCCAACAGTAGATAACTCCCCACTGAGGTTTGATTGTTCTCTGTGTTAATACTTGTGTTTTGTCTGATGTTGGTTTTCTGTAAAAGAGAAATAAAGGCAGCTATTTTTGTTGAAGCGCCTTCCTAAACCTCATAATTGGTGGGTGGCACTAGTGTGATATGTTTTCACCAGGAGATAGAAGTATCACCTGGCCAACCATCTTTCTAGGAAAGATCCTGAGGTTTCACCAGGAGAGTTTCCTTTAAGAACTAAGAAGGCTTGTAGAAGGCTTGTCTTTAATCTTAAAGTACAATGGATTTAAATATTGCTACTCTTTAGTGACACTGGTCCACCCACAACTCCTCTGTAACCTTACTTAGATTTGTATTAGCAATATGTTGACAATATTATTTCAAAAAAGTAATCCAGAGATAACTGAGGAGTCACACATGAAATTTTCTGGGTGAAATCGCTGATGGCCACTGTGGTGACTTTCATAAAAGAGGCTTTGTTTTGTTTTCACCGTTTTTTTTTTTTTTTTNCTCTAAAGCTTTTAGCTTCAGCTATTGAAGTATGTTGATTGGTATTTCCCTCTTCTGCATTAAAAATTCCCTAACAATTAAAACTTCAGATGCATCTTCAAGTTTCAAAAGTTCCTGGATTTCTATTCAAGGCATCTTTGAGAAGGTATTCAGGGCAGGAGCTTAGTCTTATTTCAGGTTTTGAAATGAATGAGGTGGGGGGTAAGAAATGTATTTTTCAAGAATACTACACGAAGTAATTTACTTCCTTGATTATCTGTTGGTTCCCCCGTGACTTTTCTATAATACACGATATCTTCTTTGAATATCATTTCATCGCGTTGGGGGTGTGTATGGACGTTAGGCTGAGAAAGAAAGTTTTTCTCTCCTAGTTGCTCTGGGTTGACAAGGTGTTGATTTAGCGTTGGGAATGGGCTGGTCACATGCTTCTCTACATATTATCACCATCGTACCGATTAGTTTCTCTTGCCTCCAGTATAGTTCAGATAGAGCACAGGGCTTTGCCTCCTCCACGTCTTGTAAAACACATTTCACTTTTCAGCCCTTCCAAAACTTTGCATCGCTCCTCTATCTACAGGAGAATTTCGTATTAGAGAAGAAAGCTTTAAAGAGGTTCTGTCCAATAAACATTTCTGCAGTTTGAGCCCTGAGGGTTTCGGACTAAGTGCACAGTTGGCAATTCTCAAAAGATCCCTTCGTGAAATTTTTGTCCTAGTGATTGCTAACAGAAAAGACCGAGTCAAGATCTCAAAGAAGCTCTTCGCACCGAGTCGACTTGGAGAGGCCCCCAAGAGCGTCCGAAATGGCCGGGAGTGCGGTTTGCATTTTCCTTCACCACTCGGACGCTCCGGGTCCCCAGGCTGCCACCCAGTCGCCGCGGGCCTCGCGTGGCCGCCCCACCCCCGCGTCGGCGCCCGCACACACCCTGCCCCCTCCGGCCCCGCCCCCGCGCCGGCCCCGCCCCCGCCCCCGCGGCCGGCCGCCCCGCACGCCTACCGAAAGCGCCGGCTGGGCCCAGCTCCGCGCGGAGTTGCCGCGGTGGCCGGATGCCAAGTGTAAGTGTAAGTTGCTATGGAAACCCCGACGGAGGCCAGTTCCCAATCCGGAGCCAGACGGAGCCGCGGGCGCAGCCGGATCCGCCCCTTGCATCCCGGCCCCCGGGCGTCCGGGCGTCCGCGCGTTCAGGCCCCAGCCCTAGGCCGACTGGAGGTGCTTCTCCCGCGGCCCCAGCACCCGGCTCCGGAAATGCCAGGGATGCAGATAGAGCAGAACTTGTTTTCCTTTTGTATCGCGTAAAAACGTGCCAGGTTTTGGTTGCTGGAACCGCCTAAAACAACAACCACTGGGAAGCCAGGGCATGCTCCCAGATTTTCGATTGAAGATCCATGAGGAAGTTTTACAATAAATTTGGAGACCTGAAACAGGCCCTAGCGGTTGTAAATACTTATGGGGACTGTGTGGCTTCTGCAGGAGCTGTGGGGCTGCTAGGCTGGAAGACAAATGGGAGAAATACACCCGAATACTCTCAACTCCCAGCCCCCACCCCAGACCTTCTCTTCTGCCTCCTGGTGTGACCGGGAGGGACCAGAAGTTACTTTAGTTGGATCCTTTTCACCATTTCAGTAGCATTGATTCAGGTCTGAAGTAAATCCCTTCTTGGGAAAACGTTGGAACAGCCTAGCTGTACAGTGTTAAAAGAGTTTCATAAACTCTATTTCAGAGTATACGATTACCAGGAGTTAGAAATAATTTCAATTCACTTTCTGTGAATTATGGCCAGTATTTCCCTCTTTTGCAGGATCTTTTGTATCAAGCAGAAATGCATCGAACAACCAGAATCAAGATCACTGAGCTAAATCCCCACTTAATGTGTGTGCTCTGTGGAGGGTACTTCATTGATGCCACAACCATAATAGAATGCCTACATTCCTGTAAGTACAAAGTTATAGACCTTTTTTGTGTCGTGTATATTTAACTTTTCCTTCTGAAATTTGAAAACTATACAGCTCCTGCATTGAGAATGTTGGTACAAAGTGACCGAGTCATTTTCTTATCTTGCAATTTAGCCACTTTTTGTAGTACATATTTATTAAAATGCTGTGCCAGTACGAGTATGCAATGTATAAGCGTTCTCAAGATACTGAGTTAGTTTAATTGGAAATACCTTTTGGCGTTTACCATTTTGCTCCTGTTCTCCATTTCTGACGCTAATTTTATGCTTAGCATCAGATTTCTAAAGTTTTTTTTAAATAAAACCTTTGTGTTTCTACTTCTAGTCTGTAAAACGTGTATTGTGCGTTACCTGGAGACCAGCAAGTATTGTCCTATCTGTGATGTACAAGTTCACAAAACTAGACCACTACTGAATATAAGGTAAGAAAATGTTTAAAATCGTTGTATCGAATTATTGGAGTTGAATAATTTAGTGAAGGGTACCCAATTTTTCCACAGAATTTACCCTTGAATGCCTACCTAATGTGTAGCCCTTCATTTCTTGCCATTTTAACGTCTAACCTTTAAAAAAGTTATTATTCAAGGGATTTTAAAGCTTTTTAAAATCAATTTTAAAATACTACATTAGTTCTCCATTTTTACATTATTTTATTGCCTTCATGACAGGCAAGAGTGAATGTGTTTAAAGTGCTTCCATTTTCTCTTTATTCTCCTTCATTTTAGCTTATTTAGTAACTTGAAAGGCACACTTGACTCAGTGAAATGTGAAGAATTTATTGGTAAATATAAAATATTTTTCTGATTTAAAAGGATGTACTACATAAAAAACTTGTTTTCTCATAATTGTTACTTTGATGTAATTGTAGACACTGTCTCAATCAAGTAAAATACTATAGCACAAAAAAACCAGAATCCATAATGTTATGAACATTTAAAATTTTTGCCATATTAATTGATAGTTTCCTTTTCCAATTCTTTTTCAGGTCAGATAAAACTCTTCAAGATATTGTATACAAATTAGTTCCAGGGCTTTTCAAAAGTGAGTGTCTTGCTTACAAATAAATTTTAAGAAAGTACTTACTATTTTACCTATTATTTCAAATGTTTGTCCTTTGTTTCCTCCTTTAGATGAAATGAAGAGAAGAAGGGATTTTTATGCAGCTCATCCTTCAGCTGATGGTAAACTCTTTGTTAAGGGAAAGACATTTTATTTAGAGGGAGAACTTACTATCTGTAATTGATTAAAATTGAATTTAATCTAAAATACCACTTCAGTTCTCCTATATATAATATTTTAATTAAATATTTGACTTAAAAACTGAATTTGAAAATGTCTTTATAGCTGCCAATGGCTCTAATGAAGATAGAGGAGAAGTTGCAGATGAAGATAAGAGAATTATAACTGATGACGAGATCATAAGCTTATCCATTGAATTCTTTGACCAGAACAGGTAAAATCTTTAGGACAAACATAAGTTAGTATGTTTATTAGGTACATTCTTCCACTAACAAATTACCTCTGTCTTAGATTGGATCGGAAAGTAAACAAAGACAAGGAGAAATCTAAGGAGGAGGTATGTCACATTCACAAAAACATATAGAAGAAACATTGTTTGGATTCTAGATTTTATGAAGGTGTATGTTGCCCTTTAAAGTACTCTAGGGTCAGGTGATGCTGTCAAATACAAGAAAATTGTCATGTTTGATGTTTAGGAGTGATCTGTATGTGATGGTAGGTAGAGGTTATTTTATATGATTACTATTAAATATTTTAAATAATCAGTGTTTAAACATTGATATATTTAAAAATTTCCTTATATCAGTAATCTATTCATCTATCTAATGAAATTTATGAATCAAAGTACAGTTGAGATTTTAATCACATTCCAGTTTTGGTATTAGAAACATATCATATTCAGGTTTTCTAAATGTATTCTCAGGTGAATGATAAAAGATATTTACGATGCCCGGCAGCAATGACTGTGATGCACCTAAGAAAGTTTCTCAGAAGTAAAATGGACATACCTAATACTTTCCAG